TGTGTGTGTGTGTGTGCGTTTTTTTGTGCATTTTGAGCATTTGTGTTTTTTGTTTGTTACCTTCTGTGGGAGGCGTAGTTTCCTGTGATGTGACCTGAGCCATCACATCCTGGAGTGGGGCATCTGGGAAAGGCAGAGCAGCGTTTAACATTTAATACAAGGTTAGCAGAAAAAATAACATTACAGATCTCACAGTGGAATGTCTTCAAGAAAATGGCATTATGCAGATGAGAGCTTAATAACATTGCTAATTTTCCTATTCATTTTTTATGGTTAGGTTATATATGAGATTTAAAACGTGAATATATCAGCTACTATTCTCTATGTAAAGATACGGTGGAGTCATGGTGTCTCACTCCCTCTGCCTGTGTTGCTTTCGCAGCCTCTCTGTGGTTTGTTTCCATAGCAGGTCTGCCCTATGTGTAGCTGAGTAGAGCGACTGAAACTGCTGTTTTTATCACCTACATCACATTGGTGAATTAAGGATTTTTTTCAACCAAACCAGAGTTGGTGATTGTTGGAACAGTGGAAAGACTAACAATTCTGTATCTGTCCACTTTAAATAAAGTTATGATGTTATGCAAGGTAAAATTTGTATTTTTGTCTATGGCGTCTTAGTGTTCTTACGGCTGAATCTGGTTACAGAAAAGCTCTATCTCTGTAGGGATCCTTTCCATAATGTTGTCAGTCACTTAGAATAACAATCAGAGCCTGTCAGTAGCAAAACCAACAACTTTTAGTGGATGTACTTTGACAGGCATAGTTAGCTTATGTTAAGGCCATTGAAACCCTTTTCACATCTCAACCAAGCCAGCATGGAAGATTGTTAGAAAGGCTTTGGAAAGACTAACAAAGAGTTGTTATTTCTGTCCCATTGTTTTGGTCTTAGATTCTGGTACTCTAGTGCCACATCCAGTGGCAAGTACATTTTGTATATATAAGCTTTACATTCATTCAGGCTCCTTGCTGTTTAAACGCTTGTTATAACTATCTATAGTGGGCCACGAAAACCCTATTATCTAGTAAAAAGCTATGCATACTACATAATATAGAATTGCAGTTTCATTTCACATTTATATGAACTGACTGAAGTGAAAGCAAGCATAGTCCAAGCCAGATGCAGAAAAGACACCATGACAGATGCATCAGCAGCAGCAGAGCCAGCAGCCAGCAACAAAAGATTAGTTAACTTTAGCAAAATAAGGCACTGTGGCATTGGACGGTGTCAGTAGCAGTACATTGAAGTGACAGTGAAAAGGTGTAGAGCAGACATACTTGAGTTCAGGGGTGTGGGCCGCCATGAGGGACCGAAGGCTCTTATCAGCAAGAGGACACCCAGACAGACTGAGAGAAAGGAGAAAGAGCGAAGGACAGGCAGAAGAAGAGAAGGATGAAAAAGGTGGGGGCGGTGAGGAAAGCCGGTGTGAGGGGATTGAAAGGAGAGAGGAGAAACACGTGAGTGAAGGGAAATCAAGAATGCAAGGCATACCAAGGTCATTTAGGAAGAAGAGGACGGACGGCAAGAGGTAAATTACTGATGCATATCAAAGTCAATGACTGTCTTTGCTTCCCGGGCTCACGCTACATTATTGCCTCTGGCATGTCAGGATCAAATAAAATATTTGAATTAGTTGTAGGGTGTGCGCTTTGGAGTCTCTCAGCCTCAGCAGAGCTAACATTTCATATATAGAGAGCACTACTGTGTCACCCAAATAAGTCTGCTGCAATGGTGCCTACCTGCGATGGGACGCATAGTTTCCAGTGATATGACCACTGCCATCACAGCCAGGTGTAGGGCACCTGGAGAGGGTGAGATACACATAGGAGAAAAGAGAGACAGAGTTAGACAGAGGACAGGGGGACGGAACATTTTGGACTAAATATGTTAAGTTTCCCATCCCTTCTTTTTTGTTGTTTTTGGATAACAATGTCGGTTAACCGCTATGGTCCAGAGAGAATAAAGGATTGCCATGAAATTGTGTACAGACATTCATGATTCAAGAAGTTGATTTTAATGACTTTGGTGATCTACTGACTTTTTATCTAGCACCATCTGCAGGTAAAAGTTTTCAATTATCCTGTGGAATATCTCTACATTATCCTGGATGAATTGGCACAACATTTTCTACAGATATTCATGGTCTCCAGACGATGGACTCTAATGACTGGTGATTCTGACTTTTCCATTTGTGGTTTTGAGGGAAATATGTCCACAACTATTGGATGGATTGCCATGAAACACATTCATGTTCCCCTCAGGATCAACTGTAAGAGCATTGCTGTTCCCTTAACTTCTCATCTAGCGCCATCATCAGGTAAGAATTTCTATACCTGTACATGCAGAAGTGGCATTCCCATGAGATTCAACTCAACATCAACTGTACTTTCGTTTAGTACTAATTAGAAATTCAAATTAGCATGCTAACAAAACTAACAAGGTGAAAATAGTTGGAAACAGAGCTGGTTATTTGTCTTGTCACTTACGAGAGCAGCTCCTTCTTGCTGTCCTTGGGCTGGAACTTGACCTTGAAGCTTGGGGTTGTAACCTCTCCTGGGTACTTCCTCTCCTCCAGACAGTCCTGCATCATGTCACAGTCCTCCGGGTCAGACGAGACGAACGACTGTCCTGTGTGCTCCATCTGAAAAATGAATATAAAAAAAGAAGGTAAACACAAATGTCTTTGTAATTCCTCTGTGAATCAAGACCTTCTCCACTCAAAAATTGTTGCTCTGAAAATCAGATTTTAAAGGGTGGAGCTAATGAGTATGATGACAGTCCTGGTCCAGTATCAACTT